TAAAAAATTCGTAACATGTATTTTTGAGATTGTGTGTATTATAAGACACACCACATTTATCTCATATGATGCTTTTGGCCTTTAATTAAACCCTCAAGTAATGTTAATGTCAGGACCCCTGCCTAATATTTGTTTGCATTTGTCTTGCATGTTTTTGCCAATACTTATTATTTTTAATAACAATGTGTCATGTTCTATACATGTATCTCTTTTATAAAATAAGAATAACGTTTTATAAGAATATTTTCCCATTTACTTGGCCAATTTTCCCAGTTTACTGGAAAATTGAAATAAAAATGTTAACTTTATTTATTTAGTATCTATCTTTTGTCAAATTTATTATATTTGCTATATTGTTTATACTTTCCTTTTGTTTCCTCTTTTAGTCATTTGCAATTTATAATGTAGCTTTAGTTTACTAGTTTTCTTTACATTTTTAATAATACACTCAAATTTCTAGTTTTTAGCTTATCAAATTTTTAATATAATAATATACTAAAAAAGGTAAAGAAATTAGCACATTTAAATTTATGTAACATGCTATTTTCTTCTATTCATGTATCAGTACTCTGTATTCTTTTAGACACATAACTTTTCTTTCTTTTTTTATTATGTTATGTGGATTTTCAAATATTTATTATACTTATATACCTGACCTATTGCAGGTATCCAATAAATGCATATCAGGTTAATTATTTAATTTCCAATATAGAGAATTTACAGTGTAAAGTAAACAAATTATAATTAAATAATCAAACAAATAATTCCAACACAACTGCTGTGTTAAATATTCTGAAAGACCAATACATCATCTCTGAATACAGATAAGAAAATGATCATTTGCTGGAGCAGAATTTTTTTTAGGAGAATGAGGTTTTTAGCTATAACAAATAATAAATAACAATTTACCCTGCGAAATGGAGTAGGAACACTAATTTTAAAGAGAAGCATGTGGAAAAATGAAATTTTCTATAAGAGAAAAGCATTTTCATTCTTCCCCTTCGATTGCTCCCATATTCTTCTTTCCATCTCACTTAAGACTACCTGTAAAAACTTGAAGAAATCTTTTCCCTTGTTTTGCCTCAGACCACTGTTTTTGGTGAGGAGAGCAAAGAGAACCTCCTCAAACATAGCTTTTATTTTTATTTATTTTGTTTATGTCTATCAAATTTGGGAGAAGGATGTTTTATAATTTTGTATCATTACCAAGACATGTGACAAAGTAATATTAATAGTGAAAATGGAGGGAGTGGATGGTTAAATTTCCATCAATAAATGATGAGCGGCATCATTTTACTTTTGCCTGTTCATCCCATTGTTTATTGGTTAGAGTGAACAATCCTTGTCATCGGAATGAGAACTTTTGTCAAGGGCAGTTGAGGAATATCTATGACGGACAAATCCATAAAGTTCTCTGATTCACATATTCCTTGATGCTGACAGTAGTAATGAGTAAGAGAAGAGGGTTATAAGCTGACTTATCTTTGCATCACTTATGGTTTGGGGCACCAGTTGGTAGTAGTTGCTTCTCTCTTTCACCAAAGGTCTTGTTTGTTATTAATTAGTCCTTTTTACCTTGCTTGGCAATAAAACCCACAGCAACACTGTGGCTCTGATATGTAAATACAGCTAATAAAAATAAAGTGATCATAGGTACCAGTTAGCTTGGGATATTACGAAGCTTTCACTTGTTCAAGAGTAATTATCAGTTGTCCCCATTTCACTCTCAAACGTATCTATTCTGGACAATGAATCACTTGATCGTCCTCATTGTAGTAGATTCTAATGTTCAATTAGAACTCAGCTGGAAATACTGATATAACTCCAAGTACTTGAATTCAAATTTGTCCCCCCATGAAATTTACACATGAAGAAATAACGTTCCATAGAGATTTCCATGCACCAGAAAGGAGATATTCTTCCTCTTAAATCCACTTTTCGTTGGATACTCAAAAGCTATTATCTGTGGCTTTCTTACTAAAGACAATGGAACATCCAGGAATATCCCCAATCTCTCTCTTATGTAGACATAAATACATTATCAATTTTTGGCCAATGGCAGAGAAGTAAGAGAAGGTCATGAAACTATTTTTCTTTTCTGATAACAGAAGAATCATGTGATGATTCACTTTCACTGTCCTAGTTTCTATCCTGTTTCTAGCCTTGTATGGTCCTGATGCCTAAAGTTATGGAGATTGTCTTAAAATAATGAGGGCCTATAGGTACAATAAGTTAACAAACAAAAAGCAGATATCCTGGCGATGGCAGGCGGAGCCAAGCAAAGAGTTCCTTAAAGATATCCATTAGCTACTTTTCTAAATGTGGAACCCTCTAAGTCCAGACTATGTCTTTTATAAAAAAATAATTGAACATGTTTTTGTTATTGTTAAGTTACTTTGATTTTGATGCTCTGTTACCTGTCATGAAAATAAAACAGAATATTTATTAAATGTACTGGGACCTCTTGTTCCAAATACTGTGATAAACACCTTCTATCATAATAGTTACTCATCACATGAGAAGTTTCCTAGGAATTAACATTGTTTCACTGATGAGACCGTTGCAGCTTCTGGAAGTTTATATTACGGCCAGGCTCATATGGCAAATAATGGAAGCAGGCGGATTTGAATTCAGACCTCTCTCTTTAAAGCGCACCCCGTTAACCACACCGCTTACTGGTTCCCAAGTTTAAGGGTGTGAGCACTCATAAAACAAACCAATAAAAACAAATACAACATACAAATAAATAATATGCATCTGTTTATGTGGTCCAGATGTCCCGGGGCCTGGGACGCAAAAGGTCACATTTGCATTTGGAAGGAAGGAGGACGGACTTCGGTCCCTCTCCCCCTCTCACACCACCCTGCTTGCTCTGTGCTCGGAGGAGGGAGTCTACGTTTGTTACATGGTGGATGACGATGTGCTACAAAGTTCAGTGTGGTTCATGGATCCGCCAGGGCAATGCCAGACATCTGGTGCTCCCTGCCTCGCTCACACCCAGCTGCAGCCTGTTCCTTGCTTCTCTGATTGAGGTTGACTGATGGGATGATTTTAACTTGGGTTTATTAGGGAGTGAAAGTCCCGCTAAGACCTTCAGCTTTGGCCACACACATCACAGGAGATGTCCAATTATCAGAATCTGATCTCCACTTACTGCGGCTGCCTTAGGCACCTCGTGGAGAGTAGGAAACGTGGGATTTTGTTTCTCAATCTTCACCCCAAAGGTCATTTAATATTAGCCCAGACCCCCATGATTTATAACACTTTTTTTAAAAAAATGCTTAGTTACCTTACTTTTTATATATTTTTTGTTTTTTCTTAATTTTTTCCAAGCTTTACTGACTATATATATATATATATATATATATATATATATATGCTTCATGTGAATGAATCAACTAGAATATATCAGGGGTCTATGGTATAATTAGGTTTTAAATAAATTCCAGCCACTCCACTTAAAAGAAATAGGTGGAAATCCAAAAGAATTATTATTCACTCTACATCTTGCTTTATGACCTGCACTCTGGGACACAACTCTCTTTTTGACTCTCTATTACTCTATTTCTGGTCTCCTTAATGCAGTTCTTTACTATACCGAGCCCAGGTACACTGACCTCTGAGCTATATACTATCCATTATAGAAATAGATAGAGTGGAAAGGGAAATTTAATTGGCCAAACTGAGACTCATAAGTAATCAATAGAGAGTGAAGCGAAGAATACCTGGCTAAAGAAACAAATGTATTGTAATTAGGCCAATTATCCTAGAAGTAGTTCATCAACTTGTAGTGATAAAGGCTGTTAATGAGCTTTGTCACTGGCAGCATTACTTTCTAAGCTTAATCCTTTTTAGGGTTATTAGCTTTCATGCTACCTGCACTGAGATAAATTAATTTATGCTGACATTAAATTGAAAAATACCTAATTGTTGCATTTGAGCAGTAACCTATAAAGTTTCTCTTTTACTGACAAAACTGACTGAAGGCAGTACAAAAATGCTCAGGCTTTTTGAACAGGTGGAAGAGATTCAGAGAAAGAGAAACACATAAATATTCTTGGGGAAAGTCGCTCAATTTATAGTCAATATCATTGAATGAAATGGCCAATAGCTATTTTACACATCAGGTGTCAGTACACTGTATTCTGTCTGCCATCAAGAAAATTCTTCAGAAAGGTCAGCCTTTGAAGAAGAGTCACTAAACATAATACCTGCTCAACCCCCAGACACACAGCACTAAGAAATCCATACAAATGTAACAGAATCTTGAATCATGGCCTCTATCAGCCTTACTCAAACACTCTTTCATCTGAGCTTCAGAACACAGGAAATAAACACAGTGACAACTTTTTCTGTTCTCCTAAGGATGGCACAGACTAGTGCCAGTCTAGATTCATTCATCAAACATAATAAATAACTTAGGGCATAAAAGCAGAGTCCTCCCAAGAACCACAGTTGAAAAAGTTGGCTAAAGATTAGAAGTATTCTTAGAAATACACTTCTCTGACCCTTTACCTCTGCATTTATTTATTCATCTGTCACTATTTATAAAACCACTATCTATTTTGTGTATAGATTCAACTGTCTGGAGGTTAAATGGCACTGTGTGTTACACATGTAGCAATAGCGGATGACTTTAAATCATTCTCATTTCTCTGAGGAAGGTTTTGAATATCCCACCTCTAATTATCATGATAGCCATCATTGTGTACATGTAAAGTGTATGTGTAGGTACACTGTTTGCTACACTATATTAACAAATATTCTATCAAATGCTAACACACTCATATCTTCTTTTATGAATACCTCACTTTATCAAATGATTTCAGCATATATTGAGATAATCATGTGCATTTACTTTTTTTACTTTCTTACTTTGAGATATAATTTAGATATAGTAAATGTGGCATATTAAAAGAGTACTATTTTGGTAAGCTTTAACATATACAAAAATATGCACACTCGAGACAATCCCTGCAGTCACAGTAATGAACATTCACCTATTGCTCCTGGAAGTGTCATTGCAGCTCTTTGTCATTCCTCCTTCAGACCACATATGGCAAGTGAGGGCACAGTGGAAGGTTTGAACACACATCTCTCAGTAACTCATCAAATAGATGCAAACAAATTAAGTCATGTACTGGATTTGAGTTACACAAATAAATGTAATTGATATATAAATCACCACAACTCAAAATTGTAGAATACATGTTTTTCAAGCACACACACAATATTTACAAAAATTGTTAAGATCTATACCATGAAGCGAATTTCAAATGACTGATACACTGAGATGTCCCTTCATGAAACTAAGTTAAAAATTGATAACTAAACAATATAAAAAATTGGAAACAATTTGAAATTAAAACATACTTCTATATAATGAATGGAAAAAAGATTAACTAATGATAAAAATTAGACATTTTAAATTTAGTAAAGGAAAATGTATAAGAATAAAGTTGGCAAATATTTAATGTGCTTATATATTATAAAAGAAGGTTAAAAATTAATCATCTATAGAAGATAAAATAGCAAATTAAACAGAAAGAAGAAAATATAGAATTCAATATTAAGAAAATATAGAACAACACCAGAAAAAAACACCGAAACCAAATGATTATACTCCAAAAGACTACTAAAATTTATAAACCCTTAGCAAGACAGATTTTTTTTTTTTACCAAAAGAGACTGATAGCAGAAGAAAAAGAGGCATAAACATTGATTCTACTAACATTAAAAAGATACAAAAATATGTTTAAACATGGTAATGCATTTGAAAATTGACCCAGAAAATAAATTCTAAAAACTAGCATAAGAACAAAATATCAACTTATTCTACAACTACTTAACTGATTCTACAATTTTGTCATTCCAATATAGAAATCTCCATGTTTACGTACCTTCAGTAATAACTTCTACCCAGCAGATATGAAGTCTTCCTAGGTGACTCTATGAGAACAGTAGAACCCCACACTCAAAACCTGACAAAGATATTAGAAAAGAAGAGAAATATAGATCAACTTCTTCCATGGACATAGATGCAAAATTTTATGATCATCTCATGAATACAAAAAGAGTATCTGATACAATTTATCAGTAATTTATGAAAAAATAAAAAATCTTAGAAAACCAGAAATAAAAGAGTGCTTTCTTAATGTTATATAGAGTAGCTGTAAATGACCAACAAAAACATTTGAATAGTCTGTCACCACTGGACTACAAATCCGTGTTAGTACCAAGAAGTAAGTAGGATAATTTAAAACCATGTGGTTTGGAAGGAGAGAAAGAAGACAGCCATTTGCAAATATATTTTTGTATAAAAAAATAAAAAGCCTTTAGGTATAGCCCTGGCAGGTTTTGCTCAGTGGTTAGAGAATCAGCTCATGGACCAGAGAGTCCCAGGTTCGGTTCCCACTAAGGGCATGTACCTCAGTTGCAGTATATCCCTGGCCCCAGTTGGGGTCATGTAAGAGGCAGCCAACGTGTCTCTCTCACATTGATGTTTCTCTCTCTCTTCCCCGCTCTCTCCCTCCCACTCTATCTGAAGATAAATGCAAAAAAATAAAAATAAAAAAGTCTTTAGGTATAGTGTTATAGTTAATAAGAGAATTTAGCAATTTGATGAAAATATAATGTCAATATACAAATACTAATATATTTTCATATTGTAATGATGATCATGAAAGAAGTTTAAAAGACATAATTAGACACAGATATAAATAATCAAATACCTAGAAATAAATCTAAAAGAATGTAAGACCTCTATACACACACATATGCACATACACCATTTTACTGAGAGAAAGTAAATATTTAAATTAACAAAAGGGTAATCTATATTCAGTAAACACTAAATTTTATTTTGTAAAAATGGTGATTATAGTCAAATTGATTTATAATGCAAACCTATATTGGTCATCTATCTGAAATGCTATGAAAAAAATACCTCCAAAATATAATGACATATAATGCCCTGTATCATATGCAATGTCCTGTGTATCTACTTATTCTGCTTGTTGGCCTATGAGTCGAGAATAGATGGACACACTTCATCTTAGCTAAATTCTGTCATGCTTCTACAATCAGTTAGGCAGCTTTGTTTCCATGGACTGGCTAACTGTAGGCTCAGGTGCCTTGTCTCTGCTCTTATGTGCCTCCAATAAATTAGCCTGGCAACGGTTTCATGGCAAGAAGAAAGTTCATGAGACAGGCAAGGCCCCTGAGTCCTAGGCTTGGACTGGCACAGCATCACTTCTGCTACATCTTATTGGCCATGAAAGTTACAAGGCCACCCTGGATTTAAGGGGAGCAGGTATAGACTATTTCTTGATGAGATAAATTGCAAAGTCACATTATATAGAGTGGATTTAGAGAGATCAATAATCAGGGCCATTAAAGGAGTCAATCTACCACAAAACCCACTTAAAATCCCAGCAACCACAATTTTGTGTAAATTGACAAGCTTACTGTGGCAGTTACAGAGGTATATACATATGTAATTAATTGAGCTACATAGTTACTGGTACATACATTCTACTGTAAGTAAAGAATACTTCAACCCAAATAAAAATGAGCTATGAAAAGTTATGAGTGTTGAGCATAAACTAAGTTGGAAGAATTAATTATGCTGTACATTAAGATTTATAATGTATAGTATAATTTATAGTAATTAAGGCAGTGTGATGTTTGGTGATCAATATAGAAAGCAACAAATGAGACAGAATAGAGTTTGGTAGCAATATATTAACTTTTGATTTATGGTACAGTTGGCAAGTGGAACAGTAGAAAAAGACAGTCTTTTTACCAAATTGTGTTGCGTCATTTGAATATGTACATAGAAAAATGATGTAATATAACTAGGTGACCCCATGTAAAAATCATCAGTGGCGAAATTGTTATCCACATGTGAGTAAAAAACAACGCTAAATTTCCAAGCAGTTTACCATAAAAGAATATACTAATGATTATAGAATAAGAAAAGGTATATCAAATATCACTAACTACAACAAAAACAATTTACAAACTTGAATTGTAATTATATCATAATATAATTAAATAATACATGATTAAATTACAATTATAAACTTCTGTTCATCAACAAACAGAGTAAACAGTTAGCTTTAGACCGGGGGAAGTTACTTCCAACATACATAAATATCAAAAGAATAATTTGGTATATTCAAAAATACTCTAAAAATCAACCAGAAAAGTTATAGAAACAATGGAAAACTAAGCAAGACAAATGAATAAGGATATCTAAATGGCCAGCAATCTATGAAAATGTACTCCACATTATTAGTCATCAGGGAAATGCAAGAATTATAGTTAAAAGGTAGAAGTTCATGGCAGGACAATACTTATATAGCAAAAACTAGAAATTTTTTAAATCTCCTACTTTAAAGATATAATGGAGCCACTGGAGCAATGCACATTAGACATTAAAATTTCAGAGAGGAGAAGACACCTCTGATTCATACTAATATGTTTGAATAAAATATTTCTGTCTGCTGTCTTAATGTATCTGACCTGTTTTATATTTTTTTCCTTTCACCATAATCTGTATTCATAGTGGTTTTCTTGTATATTGGATTTTTAGAATTTACTATTTTTTGTTGTTGATACTGTGAAGTCACTCTTTTTGAAACATCGTCATTAAACATCATTGACACCAGGGATTAAATTGTGTTTCACCAGAGAGTAATTTTATTAATCTACTCTTAACTTGGAGGCATTTAAGCAATGTAGAATATCCTTAAACTAAAATTTTATCTTTGAGAGGGTTTTATTTATTTATTTATTTATTTATTTATTTTTATCCTCACCCAAGGACATGTTTCTATTTTTGTTCAGATAGAATGGGAGGGAGAGAGAGAAAAAGAGAATGAGAGAGAGAGAGAAAGAGAGAGAGAGAGAGAGAGAGAGAAACATCAATGTGAAAAGGGACACATTGAGTGACTGCCTCCCGCACGACCCCAACCAGGGCCGGGGACGAATCACAACTGAGGTACAGGCCCTTGGCTGAAATCAAACCTATGACTCATTGGTTCATGGGCCGATGCTCTAACTGCTGAACCAAACTGAGTAGTGCTTTGAGAAGGTTTTAATCACATAGATACATCAATCTGTCTAACCTTACATAAGATTGGGCTTTTTAAAAGCAATTCTCAAAGTGATTGAGTATGTGTATGTATGTATATACACACACATATACACAATTTATACATATATATGTATGTATTTTTTTTTTTTTTTACTTTACCTTCCATTCAAAGTCAAGGACAAGACATACAGCTATCGTGTTTATTTCTCTCTGCACTATTTTTCCTTCAGTTTACTGTTGATTTTGGCTTTCATAAATGCAAACTTAGTATTGGGTTCTTATATCAAACCCACCTGCACTGCACATGTCTCATTCTTTCTCTCTAATCTACCCCAAAAGCACAGACTTCACTATTTAACTCTGAGCCATCAGAGATAATCAGATGCTTCAGGAAATAGGCCATAATCAATTCTAAATATTGTTCTAAATTTGCTTTTATTATCAATCTCTAGCCTCTGAGGATTGTCTTTTTCATGCTAGGTCATCTATTTTACCTAGGATTTGGTAGGTATTCTGCATCAAGATGGTTTTACTGGTCCTCTAGGCCACCATATTACTAGAACTGAAAATCAAGTTTTGTTCCTTTAAAAGTCATAGGTGTCAAAACCAGAGTCTAAGATATAATTAGAAAATATAAAAAGAAAAACTACCCCACAACAACGTCTATTTCTGAGTTCCACACTCTCCCTTCACACATACAAAAAAACTACAGTTTAAATGAGTACTTAATTATACACTGGAAAAGTTGCTAGAGAACTTGGCAGACATGCTACTTTTAGAAGCACTCCCCATAGATTTCTATATCACATTTTACATAATGAAGACTTCTTTCCACCTCTTACTCAAGCAAATAATAATGATAATAATAAGTTTCTTAAAGGAAGGATGGGATATATCAGGAAGGTTTAGTTAGCGGAGACACAGAACAAGTTAAGGGTGTTTTAAGTTAAAGGGTGGGTGGTGCAGGGACTTCAGATACAAGGTAAACGACAAGATTTGGGAGTCCAAATTGGATCATGAGTATATTGTTGTGTAAAAAAATCCCAAATTCTCTGCCCTGTTGGGGGAAAGCACAACATTTAAACACAGGATTCAACTAGACAGCCTCTCTTCTGGATCGCTCCCATGTGCTCAATTTTTCAATCTCCAAATTAAGAGCATTTTAGACCACTGTTTGAGAAATTGTCTGAAATCGCCAGAAAAGCAGAACTGTGTGCTTCCGAGCCTAGTTTCTGTTTCTGAGAATGCTGACTTCTTTAAGAAAGCCTAATTAGCCAGTTCATCAGCATATGCTAATCTGATTAATTCTGCCCGCATGTATGTGGCAAGATGCCTCCTTTACAAAATTATCTCCTATGAAACATATAGGCCACTTGGAGAATATATGTCCTCCGCATTAGTTATGGAAGAAATAACAATATCACATCTGAGCCTTTAAAACTGATGGTTTCTGTATTGATCTCTTTGAGACTTGAGCCACCATGTAAAAAGCCCCCATTATCCTGTTGGGGAGATAATATAAAGAATCCCTATAACTTCATTGATAAAGAGAGGTTCCCCCTGAGATCAGCCCAGAGAATAACAGCCATATGAATGAAGTTATCTTGGACCCTCCAGACAAACCCAACCCCCAGTTAAACAGCACTGAGTAACTCAAGTTGATAACACGTGGAGCAGAACTGCTCGTCCCAGCCCTGTGGCAATTCCTAACCCACAGAATTATGTAGCCTGATAAAAGTGTTATTTGAAATTTGTTGTTTTAAACTCAGTAAATAAATGGAACATTTGTTAAGCAGAACTTGCCAACTTTGCCAATAGTTGGAAAATATAATTACTTTTGGAAATTTAACTTCCCTCAGCAACTCCATTGTTCAGGAGTGA